ACCTCATAGATATTATGTTTAATAGTATACATTTTATTCAGACAAAAGAAAGTGCTTGAGGAATAGGTAACTCTTCAAACATTTGAATACCTTTGATATGGCAGAAGAAAACAAAAGACTTTCTAATGAATAAAACTAGGGGTAATAAAACAGATGGTCTTAAAGAAGTAATGAATATGTTTTAAGAGTTTAAGCATAGGCTGAAAATCAGGTCAGTGATATTGTAAAAAGGGATACTGTACTGGGGTTCAGCTGTTTAGGAAACTACTCTAAGATTCTGTGATTATAAAAAGATTTATCAACTCCATTTTTAGTGAAAATGGTCAAAAAGCGCAGTTTTCTTGCAGGTCAAAGCCAGTGGAAAATGATGCACTATAATAGAAGCCACTTGACTTCCCTGCAGGTGTCCTCAGGCTCTTGAAATCCAAAGGTTAGCTCTGCAGGGAAATTATACATTTCAGTTTCCTCCACTTTAGAATCATCAGTTTTGAAAAATAATAGAAATAAATGGAGTCTCCTGTGTACTAGTAGTGGCTGGTTTCATTGTATTAACCATTTAAATTTTCACATGTGAAGAAAGTGGTTTCTGCAATCCTGCAGCGTTAAAGATGGGTTCCCGTTTCCTAACCTGAAGATATTTCTTATTTTTTTAGAGCTATAAAGCAGCTGTGGAACTAAATCCAGATCAAGCGCAAGCCTGGATGAACATGGGTGGAATCCAGCACATCAGGGTAGGAGAATAATTCACTTACATGGAGACTGGGTTTTCTCTTTGTGTTTTCTGTCTTCTCTTTCTTTCTTCTGTGTAAAAGAATTGAAAAACTATTATTAATTTCCTCTTTGAAGTTATTTGAATACTAAAAACATCGATGTTTAAAAGTGAAATTATGGGCAGGCTGGTTAGCTCATTTGGTTAGAGAGNCGATCCCGTTGCCGGTCCCGGTCCGGTACGGGCGCGATACTGAGGGTTGCGATCCATTGCCAGTCACGAAAAAAGGCAAAAAGGAAAAAAAAAAAATTCGTGGAATAATAGAAATAAAGATAATACGAATCTTTCCATGAACTTTTAAAAGTACTCTTGTATATGCATACATGCATACAATACATATGCACATATATAAAATGTATCAGATGGTGATAAATGCTATGGAGAAAAAAAAGAGAGAAAGAAAATTGGAGTGCCGGGGAACGAGGGCAAAAATTTTAAATTAAGGCAGTCAGGGAAGGCCTCAGTTAAAAAGTGGTGTTTGAGCTAAGACCTGAAGGGAGCAAGCCATGTGACAGAATAGGTAAAGAGCACGTGCAAAGTCCTTAGGCTCGAGTGTACCTGTCGTGTTGGAAGAACAGTGAGGAGGCAGCGTGGCTGGGGAAGAGCAGGTGAGAGGGAATGGTGGAAGATGAGGTCACAGAGGTCTCAGGGCCCAATCATGCAGGACCTTGAAAGGAATTATAGGGACCTTAGCTTTTGTGCGAAATTAGTTGGGGTCCTTGGAGGACTTTGAGCAGAGAAGTGCCATGTCTGACATGTTTTTAAAAGATCACTTTCATTTAGCTAACTTATTTTCAGACTTCTATTCTTCTCTGCACTGATAAAATAGCAGTGTAGTGATTAGAATTTAAATAAAGGCCTAATAGGGTTTACTATTAAGTAGAAACCAATCACTCTCAAAAAGATAGCAAAACAAAAAGGTGACCTATGATGGGAAGGGATAATGAGATATAGTCACCTGCAACCAACAGATGGTGAATCCGAGCATGACGTTTATCAGAGCCAAATAATCCAAGCTCTTATCTTAATGAAGTTCTAGGGTATCCAGCAATATCTAGCTGGGAAATATGGAATGAACTTGCTTTAAAATAGTAAAATAGGCTGGCCAGTTCGCTCAGTTAGTTAGAACACCCTCTTGTAGCACTAAGGTCAAGAGTTCAGATCCCTCTACTGGCAAACAAAAAAACCCAAAGTAAAATAATAATTTTAAATATTTTAAATCATATGTT